CCTCCAGCGTGGGCACAAGGCGCTTGTGGGGTTGGTGTCAGGATTTGCTGGGGGAACGGCCCCACGGGAAGCCTGGGGAGAGGGGGGTGGCTGATGTGGGCAGCCCCAGCCACAACCCTCCCGTATCCCCCTGCCTCTCTCCTAGACGAGCTGCCCTACCTGCGCTGCCCCCTCCACACCATCCTCAAGCTCACGCCCGTTGCCTACGGTAAATATTATCTTTTTTTTCCTTTTTTTTCCTTCCTTTTTTTTTCTTCTTTTTTCCTTTTTTCATTTTTCGTTCTTTCTTCTTTCTTTTTTCTTCTTTCTTTTTTCTTTCTTTTTTCTTTTCTTTCTTCTTTTTCCTGTCTTTTTCCTTTTTTTCTGTTTTCTTTTTTTTTCTTTTTTTTTTCTTTTTTTTTTCTTTTTTTTTTCTTTCTTTTTTCTTTCTTTTTTCTTTCTTTTTTTCTTTCTTTTTTTCTTTCTTTTTCCTTTCTTTTTCCTTTCTTTTTTCTTTCTTTTTTCTTTCTGGTTTCTTTCTGGTTTCTTTCTGGTTTATTTCTTTTTTTTCTTTCTTTTTTTCTTTCTTTATTCTTTCTTTTTTTTCTTATTCTTTTTTTTCCTTTTTCTTTCTTTCTTTTTTTTCTTTTTTCTTTCTTTTTTTTTTCTTTTTTCTTTCTTTTTTCCCTTGTCCTGCGTTGTGTCTGTGTGCGGATCCGATGGATGAGTTTGTGTCCATGTGCGGCAGCAACCAGACATGCTGTAAAAGCTTCTGGTCATATTTTTCACGTGTGAAAAGGTCCTGGAGAGTGGGAGGGTTCTGCAGGAACAGTGGGAGGGAAGATGTGGGGATGGTCTCCCGTGGCATCTGTTTTAAACAAGCGCTAACTTTCACTCGTTGATGAAGAGGGCTGTTGCTGTTTGTGCCTCCAGAAAGTTTGGCTCTGGGGTGCGGTCGGATAAAAATGGCTTTTCTGTATAGACCTGGATTCCACGTAACTCAGGGCTGCATTCTTGCAGTGAAGTTCAAAGCCAGAAAGTTAAAGTCTAAAATTCTGTTAATAGGTTGAACTGTTTATTTATAAGCTCTTTTATTTTTTTAAAAATAAAAAAATAACAGTTATACCTGCTCACTTTCCATGCTGTTTTCAGTATTCAGAAAAAAAAAAAAAAAGGTTATTAAATATTATTACCCTTCCTCATATAAACTTCTTTTTCTTTTATGGTAAAGGTTGTAAAGTGGAGACGATTACCCTGAATGTGGAAGCAGTGAACACTCACCGTGACAAACCCTCTCTGAACTCAGTAAGTCTGGCGGCGCAGCCCTGGCTTTTTCTCTTTTCAAAAATCAGCACCTAAACTGAAACACTCTTAAATATCTGCTAGAAATGACCGACTGCTTTCAGTGACCAGCAAGCCTTGCTTCAGAAATAATCCTCAAAAGCAGAATTGCTTGTGCACTGGGTTAGTGTGCTTCCCAGGCCAGGGGGAGATGTTTTTGTCAGAGATATTGCAGGAAGCGGAATGGGCAAATTTAGGACATAGATTTTAAATTCCAGGTCTTGTTTTCAGCGAAGTATTTGGTGTTGATGCTCGTTTGCATTAATTGGGAGAATTTCAAAAAGACTTGCCAAAATGTTCAAAGTGAATTTTTCTCGTTGTCTTGATGAGGTTTTTTTGATTTGTAAAGAAAAACAAAACCCTGCAGACGGGGTGAGGCTGGGCTCGGGGAGGGGTGGGGGGCTCTCGGTGGCTTTTGCAGCCTTCGGGGGTATCAGGCTGGCGGCCAGAGGATGAGGTCTGGCAGGAGTTGGAGGTTTTTCCCTCGTAAAACACACAAGAGGTCTGCGGTGACAAATATTTGGTGCAAAATAAGACTGTGGCGTTCCTAAACTCCACGTGTACCAGAGCAGAAGGCGATGGGTCCAATTTATTCCCCGGCGCTGCGAATCTTCTTACAGCAGCAGTGGAAACGCTTCAGACTTTGCCTAGCTTTATTTATGATGTCCTGTCTCTCCCATTACTTAAATAACTGTTTAGCCATCCACCTTGCTCAGCAGAGCACATAATTATGTGCTAAATCTGTGGAAGCTGCTGCTATTTTAGGTGTTCCCTTTGCAAACACCGTTTTGCAGAGGGACTGATGCGTCGGGGAATGCCACTTAGCGATTGCCTGTAATTAGCTCCCCCAATTAAAGAGCACTAACCAACTCTCTGCTGTGCTAGCTCACGGGAAATCTTAAGTGCATTGCATTTTAAGTTCTTTCGGTAACATTTAGGCTTTTAGCTGCTTCTCATCATCGTGTTTTATAAGGAGCTATTGGCTTGATTGCCTGGGATATGGTTATTTTTTTTTTTTTTGTCCCTGTGCTGAGGGACCATAAACAAGGCATGGAGAGGCTAGGAACCTGCAGCTGTGGCTGGAGAGTTTGTGGAGCTGAATCCAGCTGCCTGCAAAATGCTAAACTGAGGATATTTAGCAAGGTTTTTGTGGCCGGACTCATGTGCTGGTGGTTTCCAGTCGGGCATTTATCGCTTTGCAACTGCAGCGCGATGCCCGTGTTGAAATCGTTGCTGCCCGCTCGGAGAAGTCAGAGGCTGTTTCTGTCGGTTGTTTTACTTGAGCAATGCGGCTGCTTTGGGGGTGAGGAAACACAAAGAAAGGAAAGGTTTCTGTTTGCTTTGCCAAATTGATTGCAGGAAGGGGAAAAAAAAAAAAAGAGAATAAAACCCCAAAAACCTGAGAGAAGCCACCTAAGCAAAAAAAAATCCCAAAGGGAAGTAAAACTGCTAAAAAAGCAGAGTTTTCAGTGGACGCTCAGCCAGCTTAGTCAACAAAACGTGTGCTCAGCTGGGGAAGGCTCAGTGGCCGTGCTGGTGCAAATGGCTGTGGGGTTCACTGAGCTGCAGCCCCGGCTGGCGGGAGCCTCGGGGTGCCTGCGGGTGGGGATGCCAGAGGTGTGTGCTGGCGCGGGATGTGGTTTTAAACTGTGGTTCCCCTTTTCATTCCTTGCGATACCCTCCGTCTGGGATCAGAACAACCTTCCCACCAGCCAAACCCCCGTCAGGATGAGAAGAAACAGCTTTACGCCGCGAGCCAGCGCGGACACGGTAAAGCGCCCGCGACATTACAGCCTTGGGAGCAAACCTCTCGACACGCTGGGGCCTTTCCCAGCCCTGGAAACTCGAGATGGGGCCGACCAGCCGCAGCTGCAAGTCGGTGTCCAGGTGGTACCTTCCCTGTGCTCCCCCTCCCCACCATCACCCGCGGCTGTCGGTTGTCCTCTCTGAAATACAGACCCTTCCCATGGCCTTAAAAATCATCCGTTCCTGCAGGAAAATCATTCTGGATTAGACTCCATTCAGAGAATAAAAAAAAAAAAGGCAAAAAAACCCCCCACAAACCCCAGAACTCACCCCATTACCCTTTTAAACTAGAACTGTGGTGCCAGAGGCTTTCAAAATCAGACTCCATGCAGGCAAGTTTCCATCAGCGCCGTAGGGTTTTGGCAGGGTGGTTAATTCTGGGTAATACCTTGCTTTCTGGCAAAAACCTGGTTGGAAAGAGTTAAATATACTCTCTTTGTCCTCATTTGATACTGCAGCCAAGTGTTGCTCTCGCCCCAGAACGACTTGGGAGGAAATCTTTGCTCCTGTGATTTTTGTCGGGGCCCGTTTCCCTGCAGGTCCTGGCGACGGCAGCCGCTTGAACAGAGTTTGGGCTCTTTGGGTGCCCCAAATAAAGCAGCTTGGGTTTTGGTGCTTGGCATTTCTTCTGGCTTAAAAGCACGTAGGTCCTCGTCAGTGTTGGCTGTGACACCCCCGTTTGTTTCTTTGCTCACTTAAAATTGTTTTTCTGCTAAATCAGGAGTTTATTTTCTGTGCCCGGGATTGCGCAGGCGGCGCGGGCTGCGGGCTGCTGCCTGTCAGAGGAGGTGGGGGGGGGCTTTGAGGTTGTCTTGGCTGGGCCCCCTCATGCAGAGACAGCCTGTGTTACCAAAGCTGTTTAAAAAGAAAATAATCTTGCGTACTTTAGAGGTTAATGTTTTCCAAACTATTCAGTGAGCCCAGCTTCTTGTTCTCCTCCTCTCTGTTAGCAGAGTAAGTGGCCAGGGAGTGAAAGAAGGGTCGATGCAGCACGGGTGAGCGCTGCTGGGGTTTTCATACTCGGTGAAGAGCCTGAGGCTTTCCCATCCCCCAAATCCCGGGGCTCCGGGGGGAGCTGACCCAGACCCGGCTTTGCCCTGGGTTGGGTTTGGTCTAGTTCTGGATGAGGAGGCTCAGCTGGAGAGGACACTGACTGCCCGGGGTCCTAATTTGTGGGTGTCTCTGTCTGGGCAGCCCCAGGCTGGGGATCCCCACGCTCACCGCTCCCTGTTTGCAGTTGTCATCGTCATGTGGAAGCACAGACAGCTCTGGGATGAAGGAGCTCAGCAAACCCTGGGTTCTGGGGCCGGGGGGGGGAATCACACTCTCCCAGGACCTCTTGCCTGAGTGGAGCCCTTGAGCAGTGGAGGAGGTGGGGGGGCACCGCAGCTCACGGTGTCCCTGCCTTGTGCCAGCTCCTGCTGGGATACTTGAGCCTGCCCTAAGCCCCCTGATGTGAAATCTTTGGGGTTGCTGCCTTTCTTTCCTCATTTGCTTCGCTGCTTGTACTTTCACCTCCTTTAAAATGCACTATGAGCTCTCCTGTGCTGTTTCTGTTTCCTTTGCAGCCTCAAGGGGGAAATGCTTGCCTGTGAGTACCACTGAAAGCAGCTTCTATGTACTCTGTCGGTTTAGTAAGTAGGACTTCTCTTGATTAATGTTGCATGGAAACTACTTTAGGGAAGGACAGACACCTGGAGTAGAAGGAAATCTTCTGCTGTACAATAACCTGTCATTAGGGGGAACCTCAGTGCAGGAGGAATGTATTGCCAGGCTGAGCCCGCTGATCCAGGGGCTCCAGCTGGACTTACTGGTGCATTGTGCTTGTGCTGGCTGCCTGAAAAAGTGCGTTTCACCCCGAGCTCCTGGACCAGGAGGTGGGACAGCTCTGGTGCTGCCGGGCTGAGCCACGTCCTGAGCAGTGCTGGCTCCTGTGTGTCTCCTCTCCGCCCGGGATGAGCTGTGGTGACGTTACTGCTTGCAGGGGTTTTGCAGGAGTTGCTGGATTGTAGCCTGGATGGGAGTGGTGCTGCTCAGCCCTAGTTCCCCATGACTCGGGGGAGCTGGGTGGGTTTAGCGTGTCCTTGGAGAGCAGCTGGGTGGATAAACCTTCCTGTGAGGGTGGCAGTTGTTACGGAGTCCTCACCATCATGTCCCCTTGGAGGCATCTTTGAGTGGAGGCAAAGAGAGCAGGACTGTCTTTCCCCATGCTCAGGGGAGAACGTGTCCTTGTCTGTCCCCCCTCTCCAGGGACCCAGCAGCCAGCGTCACCCGTGAGACCTTGGCTTCCCTCTCAACCTCCGAGTAAGGGGCTCAGACGAGACCCTGGCTGTCACCCCCCGCAGAAAGGCCAGAGATGCCGTCGCTTCGCCGTGCTCCCGCTGGCCCCGAGGCCTGGCCCCGCACCCCTGTTCCGCTGGTGGCTCTGGCAGACCCCGCCGCAACCCCTCGCTTGGCTTGTCGGGTGTTTCACCTCACGCAGTATATGCAACGCTGGTGGTTTTTTTTTGTCTTGTAAAAGCTTTTTGCAATTTAGGTGCTCTGTCTGGGGGCCGTGGCTGCTTCCACCCACCTTTGGGAGCGTGGTGGTCTCCCCCCGCAGGAGCAGCAGCCTGTGCTAGGGAGCACCCAAGGGTGGTGGTGCCTAAGGGTGGGCTCAGAGGTGGCACAGGTTGTGTCCTCGGAGGCTTTGGGTCGCCGCATGTGGGCTGCCGGGGTCATTGCTGACCTGTTCCTGCTCTCGGCAAAGCTCTGCTCCCTCCGTGCCTCTGCCCTGGGGCTTTGGGCAAATCCTCTCGCTCCTGGTGCTCTGGCGTCAAAGGGAGAGCTGGCTTTAGTGCCAAGGAAGGAAAGTGGTAGCTGGTTCTGACTCCAGATGTTGGGTGCTGAGAGAGGATTCAGGCTGGGGGGGGAGCTCGCTCCCATTTGGCTGCAGCAGGTTGGTCCCCGCGGCGCTGGGGCGCAGCTCTCCCCGCCGTAGGACGCGGCTCATCTCTTCCAGGGGAGGAAGGGGCAGCTCCTGCCCCTGCGCAGGGACCGTCCCTCCGGCCCTGAGGAACTCCTGCTTGAATGTATTCGGCAGCTTGGATGTGTTGTTTTCCTTTACTTGCACTTTGTCCTTCAAGTGAAGCTCTTCCAACAGTTCCCTCAGCGCGACTGCTCTGCCTTTCTCCATCTCCGGTATTTACACGTGTCACAGGACACAAAGGTATGGGATCGATCCTAGAGTTACCTGCCTCTGCCTCCCGATCTCTGGTTGGTGATAGCGTTTTTAGTTACTGACTGGCCTGCCAAAGCCGCGGAAGCGCACAAAGCATCAAGCTCAGGTACTGCTGTAGAGCATCTCCCACGTCGGGATGAACAACTTGGGAACGTTCCAACCAGTGGCAATGCAAAAAGGGCGCGTTCCCCCTGAAGCTGCTCTCTGAAACCCAGTTACCCTGTTGCCCAGTTGCCCTGGGTTTCAGAGGCCTTCACGCTGAAGATGGAAGGGAAAAGGTGAAAGAACCTGAGCTGGGGGAGCTTTTGATAAATGTGAGAAATCATTTTTTTTTCCTATGCTGAGTAATATTAATTTAGAATCGAATCAGAGGAGAAATTAACCAAAAATCAAAGCCTCGCCCCTTTGGATTTGCATTTGCTCTGAGCCAAAAGGAGCTGTGCGTTTAGAAAATGACTGTACATGTCAGCTTTGCGAAGTTACGTCTCCTAACGCTGCGCTCTAAGTGTTTCTTCCCCCTACATTTAAATAAGAGACTTGTAGGAGGGTTTGCAGATAAATGGAGGTAACTTGGTCCAACTTCCTTGATTCCAGGACAAACCTTCTTCCTTCTTAGTGCTGGTGTTTTGCTTGAGAAAAGTTGCATGTGAGCAGCTATTACAGGTTATCTCTGTCTGAGGACAGTTACTTTTTCAGTGTCGTCGTCAGGAAAGCTGTATAGATTTTTAATTTTTTTTTTTTTAGATGTAAATAGAAAAAATATGTAGGGTCTGGATTTCCCGACTGTTGGATTTTAAGTGTTGATGCCTACTGTTAATTGTCAGCAAACTGGCTCCGTTGCTGTGCCGTTTGGGTTTTTTATTGCAAAACAGTGCTTGGTTAGGTAAGAGGACAACTGGCCCGTATTGATTTACACATCGGTTTGCAGCCGGGCATGGCACCGCACGACTGGAGCCCTTCGAGCATTTTCTGTGCTCAGAGACAACGGCGTGAACAGCAGCTGTGGGAAATCCTGGCTGTCAGATTTTTAACTTGTGTGACGGCACGTTTGTAGCATCGTGATTCGCTTTGTACTGAGCTGCGTGTGTTCCTGCTGTCTGTTGGGCCCTCGGTGAGGCGGTGGAAGGAGTTTTATCAAAACTATATGTATTTATTGCGGTCGATATGCAAAATTATTACTGTAATGTTTCTTACGTTTGCCCTGGAAGTGTACTGTCCTATGGAGAAGATAAATAAAAGCGAGTAACCCGGAGTAACCAGCCTGCTTTGTTATTGCCTGCTGTCCTGTGAGATACTCCAGAAAAACTGAGCTTCCACGGTCTCAGGCTGAGACTGGGAAACCCTCGGTGCGGAGCGTTGTGAGGAGTGAAATGACGATGCAAAGTGTGAAGCAGCTCATTATTTGCTCGGCTAAAAGTGAATGAGTAAATCCTCAGATGGTTGCTGTCACGTAGAACAACTGTGCGGAGGTGGTTGGATCCACCTGGCTGCTGCAAAGTGTCTGTCTGTCCGTCCCCCAGCGCTGAGCTGAGCTCTGCTGTTCCCTGCTTTACCATCTCCTGACTTACCCGTGGCATGACCTGTACCATTTATCTCTTGTTTGTAGAGGATGGCTGGTTTAACGGTGTAGAGGTTTGTGCTTTCATCTCGGATTCGGCTGGGATTTCCGTGGCTGGGAAGAGCCCTGCGGATGGGACTCGAGCATCCCCGGAGCACAGTGAGCCACACGCCGCTTTGGCCAGTACTCTCCTCTGAAATGTGTTTTTGTTTTGTTTTTTTTTTTTTAGAGTCTGTCTGTGTCTTTTCTTTCTGAATGCTGAAATGTCTGTCAGTGAGATTGGAGAAAATTTATGGCGGAGGGGTTTGGGGTTTTTTTTTCAACCGGCTTTTAATACTTGTGCGCTAACGTATCGCGGGGCTTTCTGGGGTGGTCAAATAGTGCCCCACGTCTTTCCTCCTGGTTAGATAGCAGAATTAGTGTAGCGTATGTGAGGACAAAATGCTCACATCCATACTTGCCGAAGCAACTTTTCTTTGGGAGACAAGTTAACAAGCCAAATCCCCAATTTTATTTTATTTTTTTTTTTTAACTGTTACCCTTTCCAAGTTCAAACGTAGTTACTGTGTTTGTTTAACCATCAAAAGAACTCCAGGTACCATCTGGCTTTGCTTTCAGGACTGCTGATTTGAGACCTGAGCCTGTTCCCTTGCTTTGGGAAGGCTTTTTTGCACAAGGTGTATCACAAGGCACCCAGCAGATCCTGTGGGACGTCTCCTGTGAGGGACGGAAGGGAATAAAAGCTCCTCTCACTCTCTGGAAACAGCGTAGCTGTTGAATCTGAACTCAAATCCTGCTTTAGCGTTGCACCCTGATCTAAGCCTCACTCCCTCCCTCCCTCATTTTTTCCTGGGTTTTGTGGACACTTTTATCTGTTACAACAGAAAATCAGAGCGCTGCTTTGCTCAGCGTCTGGGAATAGCGGGGCCGCGTCTGCTGGCTTTGCAAGCAGCAGACGATTTTTACCAGTTGTCTTTTTAATGTGCCAGATTTTAGGCCCACAACAAGTTTTTAAACTTGCCCATGAATAAGCTGTGAAATGTTACTGATGTATAATGCTGCCTTCGATAGAGTTTAAGCTGCTTTAGTATTTAGTGCACAGACGGTGGAACTCCCCTGCGGCGCAGCTCGTGCGACGCCTGCGTGTTACTTAAATCCCCCTGAAACCCCAGATTTGCAGTTTTCTCTCCACGTTGACTTGTGTTGCCAAACTCCATTTTGCCCCACTCCCGCTGTTCTTGCAATAAGGACAAAATTCTCAGGTTGGGTGAAGAAAGGAGCGTTTGGGTACGAAGAGGAGGCTGTTCTGGGCTTGCTGTTTCCAGCGACTCCAGGATTGATATGAGCAACTTCTGGGACACAGGTTGCTTATTTTAAAGATGTAAATAAATGTTGGCCATACCCGTAGTAGGGATCTGTCCTTGAGAAACGTTGGCATCCTGGTCCTGGCTGCAGAGGAGCTCAGCACCCCCAAAGCCTGAGGTAATACCTGCGGATTTTTGAGCTCAAACCTGGTTGTTTTAAACACTCCAAGTACTTAAATTTGTTAAAGCTGGGATAGAGAGGGCCATGGCGAAGGGCCAGGCGTTAATCCTTAGGATTTCTGAGGAGCAGCAGTGTGTGTTGATCTAAAGCCATTGCGCCACAGAGGGATGAAATTCAGTGGGTGAGAAACTGAGTTTTATTAGTTTTGTTCTTTGGGCTGTTCCCACTGGGAACAGCCTTCTGCAAGAGCTGCGCTGCCTGTTCTTCGGTTTTAAGTGCTGAGAAATAAGCCAGAAAAAAAAAAAAGAAAAGTGTGGAAGAAAGACATTTATAGCCTGTTGTATGGTAATACTTGCTGTCACTCTCCAGTAATGCTCTAAACGCACAAACCCGCGATGCGTTGGGCTGGCTTCTCCTACTGAGAAACCTCCTGCTCTGACGGGGGTAAAAAAGGAGTAGAAAATGTACTGTAGGATGTTTACGCACAATATGCTGTAATACCTTGCTCAAGAGTTAATTATGTTTGTATCGCCGAGTAGTTAATGGTTGTAAGGAGACAAAAATACATGTTTTTCACCTGCCAGGATTCATGAATGTAGCTGCTAATACGTTGGCAGTCGTAACTTTTTTTTTTAATCACTGCTAAAAATCAGGGCTGCGGTTTTGGGTCACTGACTGTGGGTCCCTTATTCCTGTCGAGTGGGTCCTTTGGCCACGGGCCGTTGGGTCGTGGACTGGAGCCTCTCGGCTGTGTCTGCACACAGCAGCATTTGTGCCTCGGTGCTTTAGTTAAAGCCTAACTATAGCCTTTTTCTCCTGCATTTTAACTCTCAAAAGGTGTAAATACGTGTCTAGAGCAGAGCAGCAGCAGATCTGTGATCCTCCTCGCTGCTGTGCGGGTGGATCGTACCTGACACGCCGGGTCCCGGGGTCCTGCAGAGCTCCAAACGCTCGAGGGCGGCCGGACTGGGATGATGCCAGTGACCCCACGTGTCTCCCCAGCCCCAAACAGGCTGGTGGGTCCCTGTGCCAGGTATTTCCCTGAAACCACCTGATTTCTTTGGCACCGTGCATGCAAATACCCTAGAATAAACAACGATTACACAATGAACCTGAACTGAGGATTAGCAGCCGCTTGTGCCGGAGCTGGTGCCTTGGGCTGGGCAGGCAGAGGTGGTGAATTTGGAGGTGTGGAAGCAGCCTTGGTGCTTTCGGGAGCACTGCGCCGTGACCGAGGGGGGTTCTGTATTTCCCTGACCCTCTCCATTTCTGTCAGCAGAGGTGGTGGTGGCTGCGGTCCCCTCCAGTGAGCAGTGGCAGGGCCACCCATGGGACCTGCGGCGCTGTCCGCAAGCCGCGGCCCCGCGTTGTCATTCTAGAGAAAACTGATCGCTCAGGCAACACCCGTTTCACCTCTGCTGCCAGCGATGGGGGAAATTAAAAAGTGAGGAAAAAGGCTTAAATCCAGGCCGGGTAGCTTGAGTTTGTGTACACTGTGACGTTGGAGCTGCCACCTCTGCAAGGTGGCCCCTTCCCGGCAGCTCAGCGGTGGGTGACGGGGAAGCCCGGCTGCTGCGGGGCCGAGGAGCAGCTTTGGGAGGAGAAATCTCACTGCCAGAGCTTCCAGGAGCCTCCTGCCCAAACCCTCACCCCGTGCTCCTCCGCAGGGCGCTGGGCGAGTGCTGCCAGGGCTTGGCACCTCCTCTCCCGCTGCTCCTCTTGTCTCTGAGCGCTGGTTGCAAAGTGCGTCTCTATTTGGTGTTTTCCGACATAGATAATACACGTCTGCTTGTTTTGCTACAATTCTGCTTTCTAATGGGTTTTTTTAGGTTAAAAAAAAATGCAACGTATGTAAACTTGTGCTGTATGTTGTGTACGCTGTCCACTTGAGCATAAATATCCCGTGAGCATTCATTTACAATAAAGAGATTTTTTTAAAAAAAATAAAGAGGTCTAGTTTCCTCTGTTATTTCCCATTATTGTTTGCTGTAACCATCTATTGTGTGCTGGTTTTCTGAGATCGTGGGGAATTCGGGGAGGCTGTGGAAGGTGTTTGGAGGGAGAGGGTCTGTGGGAGAGGGCAGGTAGCCTCGGCTTGTGGGAATGGGGCTGGAAATGGTGAATCCTGCACCCCAGAGCTACTGCTGCCTTTCCCTTCCCTCATCAGTTTTAAGCATGTTTTTATTGGAGCTGTCGGAATTCACATTTTCCGGGTTTGTGAAGCTGTTAGGGTAGGAACACTCTTTTTAAAGCACGTGTCTTTTTCTAGAGAAAAATAAAAGTCAAGAGGAGCAACTGGTGTGACCGCTTTTCCAGCTGGAAACCAGCTGATCCCGAAGGGAGTCACCAGCCACAGCCTGAAGAGAATTGACCTTGGATATGGTCAAGGAAAAACCCTTTTTTTCCTGTTTATCCTGCTGCAAGCTATGGGTTGAGGAGGTCTTAGGGGTGTTTAGCAGCTGTTGGAGCAGGGGGATGGCTTTTGGTGTCGCTGTGCCCTGGCTGATGCTCGTGGCCACGAGCACCCCTAAATAACAGCAGGTGCTCAATCACCTCCTGGGTGCCCATGGGCAAGCTGCTGATTTTTTTTCAGCACACAAAACGAGCTTGTTCTGAGTCACCTGGAAAAAAAAAAAAAAATCTAGAAAGCCTATGTTTGTGTTTGCGATTAACTGGATTCTTGTAGATATTTAGTGGAGGTCAGTGCCTGCTCAGGAGTGATGAGGGGGCCTGTTGTGGGCAAGCCCCTGCTCGTGGGGCGAGGGCGGGCAGCCCTTTGCTGTGTTTTACAGAGCAAGAGCTGAGCCTGTTTCATTGTTTTGGCATGAACTCAGGTGAACTTTGGAAAGGCGATATATCCCACTTGATGTAAGGAGATGGTAAAATTTTTCTTAGCAAAACCCCTCGGTTGCCTGTGGGAAGCAGAACCCAGGGTAAAAAGGCCATTGCGAGGTTCGTGCTGGTGATTCAAGCCTGGATGAAGCCGTGCAGCCAAAGTGCAAAAGGAGCAAATGGTGACAACTTCTGCCAAAACTCTCATTACTGGAAAACGACCCACCAGCAGCAGCTGGATACGGGAACAGCTCTCAGGGAGACGCAGGGCAGCTGGGTTTTCCCATCATGGAGCTGGGTGTTCAGCTCTGCGTGGGACCTCACGTACTCCTGAGCTCCAGCTGCTGTTGCTTTAATAGGAGTAGGTGGAGCTGCTTGAAGGAACCATATTTTGAACGCTGGCCATAGGCTGTTGAGGTCAGAAGGGACCAGCTCATGGCTGTCGTGCCCCAGGGTGGGTGACACAGTCCTCTTGAGGAGGCCGTTGTGTGCCCCAGGTCCCTGGGCATCGCCTGGGGTCCGGCACCGGTGGAACAGGCACCATCCTGCTCAGCAAAGATCGTTTCAACAAAGAGTTGGCAGCTCCCTGCAGAAAACAAACAATTTCAACATCTTTCTTGGGTTGCGTTCAGTTTTTTAGTGTTTCACTTTCGTGGGTTCAATAAACTACTTCCTTCTCGCTCAGGGGAGGGGTTAATGATTTATGGGTTAATTGACACAACTCTGGTCTCTGCAGAATTCAAACTTTTTCTGCACGGAGCCATATCTGAGCATGTGGGCGTATTGTAACTCCTCCTTTAGTGCTGGGGGGACTGGGCAAGGACAGTCATCACTTCGTCTTGCAAGAGCCGAACACGCCGGGTCTCTCCATCTCCTGCTGCCAGACCTCCAGGTAAGGCAACTTCGAGCCATGCAGCTTCGGGTGATGTTGCTGTCGGGAGCCGAGTTGGAGCTTTCTTACAACTTGAGCAGGAAAAAAAAAATAAAAAAAAAATTAAATCAAATTAAACCAAGAGCTGAAACAAGGATTGAAGGAAAACAGCCATGAGGAGTGTTAAGTTTAGGGCAGAAAGCATCAAGACTCTGGTTACCGGGAGGACGGTCGGCACTTGGAACGTACGTAACGTTGGGAGGGTTTAGGCTCGCAAATGATGATCCTGGATAACTTAAGTCGGAGAGGACTCTTGCTATCTGTACAGGTGCCAGGTTAGTCAAAATCGCACTTCAATTCCATGTGGTAAAGGAATTTGGTCTCCTGAATGACTTGTGGGCTTTATAGCTTTACTCTAATGGTATTTGCACAGAATTTATGTCTATTTTTGGTTAGATACTTCTCTTTTTCTCTGCATGTAATTTATCGTTAGGGGGCCGTACTGCCTCCAGCAGGATTTCTTCAGGCTATGAATTTGCTTCCAAGAAGCTTATTACTAAACCTGTAAGATAAGTTTCATGGGATGTTTTCCAGAAGGAAAAGATAAACTCATGGCCCTGCTGGGAAGGTATTGATTTGGCTGGGAAGAACACGATGTTGGCACTGTAGTGGTTTTAAGTCAAAGCTGACGAGCTACACCGTATTTTGTTTGGACTTGAGTGGAACTGTTAGGGTTGGGTTTTTTTTCAATTTTATTTTAAAACTGTAATCAAAAGCAATGAGACCAGTGGAATAAAGCCTATGGGAATTGCTTAACATCTCCAGTCAGTTGCCCTGTTAACGTTGTATTTTCATGTCTCGGGGTCTGGTCTGCTGGAGCTTTCTCCAAATCCAGCTCTGCCCCAGCAGCCCAGATCCTCCGTGCTGGGTCTTGGTCCCATCAGCTGGAGAGGAGCCCGGGGAGAAGCTGCTCCTCTCTCCCACGAGGTATTGCAACAGCTCCTGCAGCATCTGGTCCCCAGCCACGACTGCTTAGGGATGGAGAAAGGAGACTCGTCCGTATGGGCTGTGGGCATCTGGAGTGTAAATACCCCACTGCTATTTTTACAGATATTTGGCCTGGAAAAAAAGGATGTGGTAACTTCTGTGGGATCTCCAGAGAGGAATAAAGGAAGATGCCAGCTGTGGAGCCGGGGAGGCAGAGGGATCACACCGCTGTCCTTGGGTTACTCCTCATCGCTGCTCTTGTTGTGGCTGTCCAGAGTGAGTGGAGGAGTCCGTTGGGATCAGCTCAGATCCCTCAAAGGAAAACCTTCTCCTGGAGTCCACAAGACTTGGATCCTTCTCTTTTCCTTGTTGCCTTTGCATTTAGAGAACGCTGTAAATCTTTGTGGTCAGAATCCGTCTTCCTTTGCCTTTGTTTTCCCCCTTTCTGTGCAAAACAGACTTAAAATTATTTCCAGCCGGAAAAGGTGCAATGCTTTATATAATTGGGGAGAGGGAATGGTTAATCTGGACTTTGTGACCAGCATTTGTAACTGCTGGATGAGGTGTGAGGAGCAACAGGACCTCACGGGATGATGCTTCTCCCCTGTCCCTGCCAGCCTCAGGCACCCCCAGTCACAGACCACCCACCTCCTCTTTATTTCTAGCTTTAAGGAGTTTTAAGGCCACGGAAATGTCCTTGCCTGGACCTTCGGAGTACATCAGGCCTCAACTCCCGCTGCTTTTTCTCCCAGCATCTTTCTGATGGAGTTTCTGTCTGCAGGTGCCTGTGATGCTCCGCCACGTCTCCAGTCTGCAGAACTTAAAGAGCAATACCAAAGCACCACCGTATTTCCCTATAATTCCGTGGTGGAATACGTCTGTCGCCCAGGTTACGTGAGAAGTAGTAGTACCCGAAACACCCTTGTTTGTGGAAGGAACAGTAAGTGGCATGGATCAAAGGAAATGTGTACACGTGAGTATATTTTATGTTGGGTTTACGTTCTGGGTTTTATTCGCTGACGCTATCAGCTCATTTTGTGGGAGCAGTATCCAAAGTGACCTCATGGGGTGGTGGAAGATGAGTGACCTGACATGAAGCACCAGTTGTATTCTAGGTGCTGGCAAAAGCTGAAATCTGCTTTGACTGTTGACTCAAACTCTGGCACTTCGTAACTCGTGGTTCAAAACCAGACTTGCAGTAGGGGAACCCTTGAGCTGGGAAGAAAAATGCTGCCGTGCTTGCCAGGGTTACTGCAAAACCCCACGGACACTGTGCAGAGGTGGCTGCAGGTCACGATGCACGTCCTAACAGCATCACGAATCGTGGAATAATTTAAGATTGGGAAGGGAAATCTGGAGGTCTCTGGTCCATCCCCTTGCTCAGTACTGGAGGAGTCTTCTGCTTTTTTTTGATTCTTCAAGAAACTGAAATAAGAACTAACTCCAGTCCTGTTGTCCCCCAGCAAAGCCGTGCAGTTACCCTGGAGAGCCGGACAACGGCAGGCTCATCCAGACAGGAACGCTGGTTTTTGGTTCATCAGTGAACTTCACCTGCAACCTCGGGTAAGCCGGGAGGACTCAGCGCGTGAGCTCGCTTCTCCCCCAGAAATTTTTCTGAACCTCTTCCCTAGATTAAAGCCTGTGCTGTCAGAAGCCTTCCCGGTGTCGGTAATTGCAGACTGTGGTTGGAGTATCATTTAAACTTTCCTTTGCAAGCTTTAAGACTGAGTTTTCTTAATCTTGTACTTCGAGGAAGTTCTTTCTGGACTCACGTTCACTCTTCCGGCTCTCCCTAAACCATTTCAATGTTTCAGTCTCTTTTGGAAGAACAGACACCGAGACTGAACTCGGGGCTGTAGCGATAGCTACAGCTGGCTGTTCAAGTAGACGTTTTTCCTTAGAAACCATGTTGTTTTTTTTTTTCATTTAAAAAAACTTTGCATCAAAAGCCAGTGTGTCATTGAAAATATGACATGGATGGCAAATTTCTGATCAGCTGTAATTGTAAGGAAGCCCAAACCATCCTGATGGTGATGTTACAGGTAATACATCAAAAGCGAGTTTGTCGAGTAATTCCTTCTCCCGTGTTTCACACAGGTACAAACTGGTCGGACCTTCTGAAATTCATTGTGTGCTTGTAAATGGGATTGTTACATGGAACAGAGATATTCCCATCTGTGAGCGTAAGTAGAGTTCCTTGATTGATCTGCCGTCGAAACGTTACTGGGGATGGATGAGGAAGCAGTTGTGTTGCCCTGCTGCGGATTTCAGCAGTTTGATGCATGGTGGAGTCTGGAAGGATCTTTTTCTTTGTGTTTTCTTTCCTGCGTCATCCTGCAGAAAGAATTATTTACTGTCTGGGAGTAAGGGGGCTGCATGTGTGACCGTTATATCCCCAAACCACTCAGCTGCCTGGGGGGGCAGAGACCTGCCCTTAATTTCGGACCCTTCTGACACCTCATGTTTAATTTTTTTCTTACCAGACCTTTGGCTCAAACCGAATTAAGTTCTTTCTTGCTCTTTCCCCCCTCTCTCCCCAGCAATACCATGTCTACCCCCTCCAGAAATAGCTAACGGGCAGCACAGCGGAGCTGGCAAAGCGCTCTTTGAGTACGGAGCATCCGTCACTTACTGGTGCAACAAGGTCCAAAGGGGAGGGAGACCTTTCTCACTCTTGGGAGACGACTCTATTTTCTGTACAACCACAGATAATGTAAATGGTGTCTGGAACAAGCCGGCCCCGGAGTGCAAAGGTGAGCTGCTTCCCCTCAAGGGCAAGCTCGTTTTCTTCCCTGGAGCTGCTTCTCTCCCTTATTTTGCTGGAATCACCTCTTGCAGATGAGAGTTTGGTAGCAGCAAGAGGAATTAGGATCTCCCATTGCTTTAAAAAAAAATTAAAAATTTGGAAACCTGCTGCCTTTCAGATGTTCTTTTTATGCTTTGCATGAATAAGAAGCATGAAATTAAAAAATGCTGTAATATGAAGCGAAGAGTTAAAAAAAAAATCTCCTGCCTGCCTGCCGCCTTGTCCGTTTTCAGTTTTTTTAGTGAACGAGAATGTTTTTGATCCCCTCATCTCCCCTCCTGAGCGTAACTGCTGCTTTCCCCGACGCAGTGGTTAACTGTGAGCGTCCGCACGTGGAGAACGGGAAGCTGCTGAGCGGGTACCGGGCTGACTACACCTACGGAGACACCGTCATGTTCGACTGTAACTTCCGCTACACCCTGACGGGCAGCGGAACATCAACCTGCCAAGAAAACGACCGCTGGGACCCTCCGCTGCCGCTCTGCCAGCTCAGTAAGTGTGGGGGGCCGGGCGCTGCTCCGCCTGGCCCAGCAGCTTTGCTTCAGCGAATTTCCCACCTGAAACATTAGGTCGTGAAGGTGATTAGCTCCAAGATTTTCACTTTTTTTGATTTTTTTTTTTTTTTTTTTCCGGCTAATCTCTCTGTAGCGCTAAGGTGACTTTAGGAATTTGACTTAGAGACTTGTCCTGTTCAAGCGGGTGGGCATTTCTCAGGAGAATTCAAAGGGACTTCAATTAACCATTCTATAGTTAATATTTTTAAAGTTTGTTGGTAGAGCCTCAGGTAGGACTAACTTCATCAGAAATTACATCTCGTTATAACAGCGAAAATTGCCATGCGGTCTGAAATTATTTTATGCTTTCATTTGTCGCCTTTGCTTTCGCTCTTCAGCGTTACTGAACTCAGGCGACTAAGTCGCCTCAGAAGGAACACTGAGCCCATGATTTTTACCCAAATTCTCTCTCTCCTGTTACATACCGTGATGGGCCTCGCGGATTTATCTCTGCCGATGGCCCCAAGTTGTTATTTCGTTCCTAGGTAGCTGTGATGACCCTCCGGATGTGTTTAATGCTGTTAAAGCAAAACTGGCTGGCAACCTCTTTCCTGTGGATACCGTGGTGACCTACGAGTGCAGGGAGGGCTACCAGTTCAGTCCGGGAGAAACCACGCGGCACATCAAGTGTCTGCCCGAATTTACATGGACTGAAGCTCCACATTCCTGCGAAAGTAAGTGTCTGTTCCTTCGGCTTCCTTACCCTTGTGATCTGGCAAAATTATCAGTGAACGAAGAAACTGTACATGGTTGTGCAGACTGCAGGGTTGGGGGGGGAAGAGAGAGGGGATGCTCTGGGTGCCCAGCTTGGCGTGTCTCTGGTTTTGGCCGCAACTCTTGAACTCCTTTTGATTTATTCCCCAGCCACAGAGTTTTCTCTGCTTTATTTACCAGCTGTGCCTTCTAGTCCCTTAAACCTGGGGAAAAAGGTGTCGAGGGCCCCTTGCTCCATCCAAGGGGAGGTTGCAGTTGCAGAGTCCCTTGCGAACACCCCAGGAGTGCCGGGGGATGGCGTTGGGGCAGATTTAGTGCTGTGACGTGTCTTACAAAGCATCCCTCCTTCCATTTACAATGAACCTGCTCTCATCCAGGTGCCTTTGCCCTGGTTTCACACTTGCTAATGTTTGCCATTTCTCAGGAGTCCGTTGCCAAAGTCCAGACCTCAAGAACGGAAAGCCTGTACATATATGGGAAGTTAAAGACAATTATGTGTACGGGGACAGGCTGGAAATTATGTGTGACGATGGCTATGCTTTCAAAGGCCGCAGCAATAACGTCATGCTTCAGTGTAACAGCGATGGGAGATGGGATCCGGCAGTGCCGGAGTGCGTTCCGGGTAGGTGAGAGCCGGTGAAGCACTGTAAGTTGTCTTGGCAACTACTTATTTTTTTGACTGCAAAGGTTTGGGTCACGCTGTACAGCAGTGTAGTTGTCTGCTGACGTGCGCTGAAAAAAATCTACACGTGACCTTAGAGGATGGTGGGAGCAGGGTACGCTGCCAGGTGTCCCCAGGTCTAGTCCTCCTGTGTTAACGTGGAAGAAATAGGCAGCGAAAGATCCAGGTGGATCATTAGGTGGCCCGGAGATTGCTGTGGAAGAGGGTGCGGGGTTTTGGCTGAGGTGGGATGGCAAGGGGGGTGTTGGTAGTTTTTAGAGGCTTAGGGGGGTTCCGAAGAAGCGTGGGAAACATTTACCCAGCTGGAAGGGTTTGTGCTTTGGACAACAGGGGAGGTGGTTTGCTGACACGAGGCTTGGGGGCAGAGGATGTTCTCGGTGCGTTTTCCCCTCTCAGAAGAAAATGCAACAGTTAACAAGAACCGGCGCTGCTGAAACTACTAACCTAGCAGTGGGGTACCGCAGCAATATCAGCAAGCTGCTGGAAGCTCAGGAAAACCTTGCCAGGAGGAAAGAGTCTGCTCCACCTCCCAGGGCAGCCGGCGGTAGTGCAGGGACGATTCCTCGTCCTGGCCCTAAGGCTGCCTGGGAGGTGCTCAGCGACCGCAGGAGCACAGCTCAGAGGGAACGCAGGGGCTGCGGGCCCTGGGACGGCACCGGTGCGTGGTGCTGAGCGCCCTGAGGGGAGGCTCGCTCGGGCACGGCCCCAGCTCTGCAGCACGTGCCTTTCCCAGCAGCCATGGAAAAACCTGATTGTAGGAGCAGAAACTCCTTTAGAGTTACAAAGAAAGCATCGAGACCTGCAACTGGATGATAGTCACCTTTTTTTTTTCCCAATATCCAGATGTTCTTGATAACTGCCTTCTCCACAGAAAGAATATTCACTGGAGTTCTTCTGGAAAATACATGACAACCTTTATTTTCTGTTGTTTCTAGAACCTCGTTGCCCAAAGCCAGATACGGCTCATGGAAGAGAGGTTTATAACAGCAAAAATGACTACACAGTGGGGACCCGACTGAGGCTGGCCTGTGATTTGGGTTACGTCCTCAGGGGCCAGGACGTGACCGAGTGTCAGGCTGATAAGACCTGGTTTCCCCCGTTACCCTTTTGTGACAAAGGTGCGTGTAAGACGAAATCCCGCGCATCGGGGATCAGAAACAGCGGCCAGAAGGTGACCGACCTTCCGCATCTGCTGCTGGGCAGCGGGGCGATGATCCGGCTCGTGGGCTGAGAGCGTTGGGGGGTGTTGGAGGTGTGACCCTGGTGGGAGCCTTGAGCTGGTGTAAGAGGCGCGAACTTGCCGCACTACAGACACGTCAAGTTAACTCTTGTCCTGATTCCCCAGAAGCAAGTTTGATCCTCACCTGAACAGGATAATTGTGCGGTTTTTTTCTTATCAACTCCCTTTATTCCACAGCCTGCGGCCCCCCTCCCCAAGTCCCCAACGGGCAGCACTCCGGCGCGGGGCGGGAGCAGTTCTCCTACGGCGCGGAGGTGACGTACAGCTGTGCGGAGGGTCTGTCCCTCATCGGGGACGCCTCCATCTACTGCACCTCCGACGACGGGGTGAACCTGGAGTGGAGCGGGCCGGCCCCCGAGTGCAGGGGTGAGTCCTTTCTCCTCTACGGGATCAGGCTGGAGCCAGGACCTGGGTGCGATGCTGGGGCTAAGCTCCAGCAGTCCAGGAGCTCCAAACCCAGAGTGGATTAAGGACCGTGTGGCTCCTCTGGCCCCTGTGCAGATGTCTCAGCGTCTCGAGGTGTCCATAACGCCAGGGACTGGCAGGGTGTCCCTGGGGGCTGCTGCAGGCAGCTGAGGGGTCAGTTCTTGTGTTTGAATATAAAGCTGATGCAGAGAGCAGCGGGAGGGGCCCGGGATGGTTCCCCCCCATCCCTGGGGCAGAGCAGCACCCAGAGGCACCGCTCCCACCTCCGCCCTCTCTCCGCAGTGGTCCGGTGCCCCAAGCCCGCGGTCGAGAGGGGGAGGATGACTCCGCAGAGGTTCACGTTTCCCTACGGGGCGGCCGTGAAGTTCTCCTGTGACGAAGGCTTCGTGCTGCAGGGCGATGCCGAGAGCCGGTGCCTGGCCGACGGCACCTGGCACCCGCCCCTGCCCACGTGCCAGCCAGGTGGGTACCAGACCCGGGCAGGTGCCCGCTGCTGGTTTGCACAGGCCAGGGGTGCTGCTCCTCTGAGTCACCAGCAAACAGCTGGAATTTGCCGGGCGTTTTCTCCTCTACCTCCTCCCACTACATTTTTTTTTTTTCATGCGTTTTCCTTTCAGTTCAGTGTCCCCGACCCTTGAGGCAGGAGGACTTAACGATTTATTCTTCTCAATTAACGTTCGAGGTGAATGAAACTCTGTCATTCTACTGCAAACGTGATGTCTATCGACAAGTAAGTTCATCGAGTACCTGCTCATCTAATGGCACTTGGAAACCACCAGTCACGTGTGTAAGTACCACCCCCTGCCCAGGCTTTCCCTTTCCCTATATCTCTCCCCATTTATAGCCTGGAATAGCACTGCTCTGATTTAATGAGCGTAGCTGCTTCGTTAGAGAGGGGCTGCAGTAGGAGGGAGATGCTCAGCCCGTAGGTCCCTGCAGCAGAGTCTCATGCCCTGTGTTTTGGGTTTGGTTCTTTTCAAGAAAAAACGTGATGCATGTGAGAAGATTCTTCAAAATAAGGAAGATTTCCAGTGTGGAGTTCCTCTGACAGAACTGAAAACTCTGCTGGAGGTCCGGAAGCTGTACCTGGAGATTCAGAAACTTGAAAAGGAGCTAAAACCCACAGTATATGGGTGACTGTCGACACTGGTATCATGACAACCGTCCTCTTTGCATGTTGAATAATCACGCTGACTGAGGATTTTTTATGACTTTGTAATTTGTGCTAATACTTAAGTAGCCAGAACAAAATCTACCAATCGGTCAAGGAACAGGTTTGGTCATACGGGGAGTCAGAAAGCGACAACTTCTCCGTTAGAGCTCACTGCGTTAGGTTAGTGCATCACTTCATACGTTCCAAAGCTTTACATTTAGATATGTTCGTTACACTGACGGGTGTGAAGGTACAAAGGAAATGAGTAGAAAGTAAATTTTTGTCGGAGCCGAGCAGATGCTGTACAGACCAGCATGAACACGGTGAGAGCCCGACACACTGCTGCAGCCCTCAGCTCCAGTCTGACACAGCCCGCTGCTGCTCTGTTCTCGTATTTTGCATTCATTACTGCAAGCAAGCACTTCACTGCATAATTAGCTGTGACCTTCAGAGCAGGCACAATGAAAAAAAAAATAAATCTTCAAAGCCTGTTTTCTAGCAAAACAAAAGCGCCAGGTTTTCTTCCCAAGCAGGACAGAGGTAGCTGAGGCTGCAGCAGTGCCACTCGCTGCATCTTTGTGTGTGCACCGAGAGCAGCAGTTGGAAATAAAAGTGCAAAGAATGAAATGGCTGAATTTTTTTTCTGTGACTTCCAGTAAAGGGGAAGGGCTCTGTTAGCACACGTCTTGTGATCGGACCAGTACTCCTTCACCACCGGATTATAATAAAGCTGCAGTTGTAATGGCAGCTGTGTCTGGCTTTTGATAATCCTGTCCTACCCCTAGTAAAGGAAAGAGGTGCTTCACCAGCCAGTGCTTGAGGGTACGGAGGGCTGCTGTTCCCCGAGCACAGCGCGGGGGCTGCTTGCACCCGAGGCCAGGGGAGTGGGAGCCCTGCCCCGCGCGCCCATCAGCAGCTCCCTGGGCTTCAGAAGCGAGGCCAGGCTGCTGCAGAGCGGTTCTAGCCGTAAAACACCTTCGCTCCTGCTGTCCCCACGGGGGAAGAAGGCAGAGCGGCGTTCCCTCCCGCGGCACGTCCTCGGGGTGGGCAGCCTCTCGCCTTGGGCAGGTCAGAAGGGCTGGGGGGTGGCGGTGGTGGCGTGGCTCATCTTGGCCTGTCCCCAACTTCCCACAGCAGGTTCCCCTTCCCCGGCGGGCTCTCGGCAGGGAGAGGCTCTTGCCTTTCCACGGTGCTGGCCTGGCAGCTCGGGGCGCCATGCCGGGGTGTCTGCGCTGGCCGGGGCAGCTCCTGGCGGCGGTGGTCCTTGTGCTGCGGCCGGCCGGGAGTCTCGGTGAGTGTCACTTCCCTGCTCCTTTTCTTCGCTTCTGTGGCTCAGCTTTGCCTACGGCTCAAATATCTAAAAATCAGGTTAGTAAAATGCGGCGGGAGACCTTCCCCTGGCTGCAGTCACCGCTAAGCTCTCTCTGTGCCTGGTGTTCCCGTAAGGATGACCTGAGCCCAGGGGCTGCTGCGCATCGTCCGTTTCTCCTCTTTAGCTGCACCTCTCGGTGCTTGCAAAGCAACACCCAGAATTTCCAATGCTTCTCAAAAGTCTTAAGTTTGGGGTACGGATCCCTCCTGGGACTGGTGTTAAGCCTGGCTGGCCCAGGGGCTACGGGCTCGTCCTTGGGACAGCCCAGGACCAGGTCACTTGTCTGCAGAACGTCTCCTGGTCTGGAGTTCAGAGCTTCTGTCGCAGGGAGTGTTCAGCCTCTGCCTCGGTCCCCCCGAGGAATTGTTCCCAGGGTGGAGGAAATCCTTATGGTCTGGGACTCAAGATGAGGATGGCGGTAAGAGGGGGAGAGTCAGTTAGACAGGTTTATCATTTAATTAAAAGGGTCGCAGCAATTTGAGTGGTATCGGGTCGATACCGAGGTTGAGGCTGAAGCCCGGGGGCAGCGCGCAGACACGCTGGGGGTAGCTGGGCACGCAGCCCGCAAGCTGGCTTCAGCAGAGGAGAAGTGGGGGGGTTGCTGACTAAGGAGTGTCTCTAGGAAGAGGAATAACTCGCAGTTTCTGCCTGGAAGTTGACAGTTCCTTTAAAATCAGGCCTTTTGAGAAACTTCCCCAGCATGTACCGCAGCCCCAGCACCTCCCCGCAGAGGCATCTGCTGCCCCCCGGCTGCCAGCGCTGCCTTTACACCTTTTTTTTTTTTTTTTTTTTTAAATTTAATTTAAATTCGTAGAGTTTCTCAGCCTATTTTCCAAACCCAAACATTACCAACAGGGTAACGATACCTAAGATGGGGCCTGGGGAAGGCGCGTACGGGTACAGAGATGCTCTTTCCGTGGGTATTGGTACCCAAGGCGGCATCGCCAAGCGCTGCCCTGGCACGGTGACCCTGAGATTTTATGATTTTAGCAGAGACACGCAGTGTCTTGGTAACCTGCCAGCACCTATTGTAAGGCATGAGGGAATCCCAGTCGTAGTTGCCTTTAGTTTAGTTTCCTCTGTTATTACAGTCTGTGACCAGCCCCAAAATATTTCTCGTGAGAGATGTGGTAGCTGGACAAAGAAGCTTTTTTATTGGGGGACATCAGTGATGTGTGTGTGTGATAGAGGTTACGCAGCTGTCGGAGCCTCCTGGTTATTGCAAAGCTGGAGGTGGGCTGCCAGCACCCCGGAGTCACCCCAGCCCCGGGTGTGCAGGGGAGTTGTACTGCAACCTGCTAGAGCGAGGGCTCTTCGGAAAGGGCAGAAACGGCATTTGTGTGCAATGGAGTCGCTACACATTTGGAGTCCTACTGATGGTGGCTGCTCCAACACGCTGACTAACCCTCAATCTCTCTGCCTGAATTGCCGTATCGGTTAAACTGGTTTGTTTTCTCTTACCGGACAGAGAAGCAGCGACAGGTGGTCACTGTGAGATGTATTCAGTAAGAATAACCCTGAAAATCCCTGGTTTTTGGTGATCCACAGAGGTTCAGTGTCCCGTCCCAGATATCACACACGGACAGCTGAAACCTGCACAGAACTTCACCTACGGCAGCACCGCCACGCTCGAGTGCGACGCCGGGTACATGCCCGTGGGTGCCACCACCACCGTGCGGTGCCTGGGCAGCGGCCGATGGTATCCACGGGTGCCCGCTTGCACCCTAGGTACGCACAGCTCTCCTTGCTTTATCTCCCATGTGTAATTCCCTGCTTTCATTTCACTAAAAGCACGGGCAGGGTTTGCGGGAGAGGGGCTGGAGGACAGGGACACAGCGAGCTGCACTGTCTGATGTTTGGTGGCAGGGATCGCTGCCATCCCTTGCTTCCTACCCCTGCCCGAGGGGCAGGCTGGGCTTCCCAAAGGCAGGGCTCAGCTTTGTCCCCAGCGGGTCTCTGGAGGGACCTCCCAGCTCTGAGGGTCCTTGTTGTCCCCTGCTCTGGCACCAGGTCACTGTCCCTACCCTCCTGCTGTTGACCACGCGGACCGAAATCCTCAGCGCGAGTTTCTAGTTGGGACAACCGTGACCTACTTCTGCAGATCCGGATACACTTTGCTCCCCGAAGTCTCTCCAACAACTACTTGCCTTAAAAATTTCACCTGGTCCGTAATCCCAAAGCTTTGCCAGAGTAAGTACGTCATTTCCTTTGCTCTGCCAACAAAAGCATCAACTGAATATGGAAATAACATCGTTTTCCAAATACCCGCTAGTACTTCTGTGCCGTAAGGACTTCCCTGAGCGGTGCTTTGGCTCTCGCTGATAATAATTTTCCTGTTCAAAGGGCAGCATGGCTGAAAAGAGATAGCTGCAACTCACACTGCTTATTTAGCTGTTCAAACAATGATGCAGCGATGCAGCTACTAACATATCATCCCTTCAGCACGATTTATAGCTAATCGCAGGGCTCGGATCATGCTGCCTTCCGAGAGAAATGGTTGTTGTCACGTAATCACCGTCCCTGATCATGCCAGGTCTGGTTGGGGATGTCTGTCAGCATTAATGGGCTGCCTGGTAGGCTCATGGGGTCAGCAAGCTGACACAGTGGGAAAACACCCCCGTGTGAACGCCTCCTGCTCTCCCCTCCCGCCCCGATCCATGGAAGCTCGTTCTGTCTGATGTGGGTGTTCCTCAGAGATGCAGTGTCCCAGCCCGGTGATCCCCCACGGGAGAGAGATCAGCCCCAGGAAAGCCGAATACACCTTTGGGCACCAGGTGGAATTTCAGTGTGAGTTCGGCTACGTGCTGAGGGGCAGCCAGAGGATCCAGTGCGGGTCTGACGGGATGTGGAGACCCCCCGTGCCGTACTGCGACAAGGGTGAGCGGGGAATTGCAGGGTAGGAACAGAGAAAATCACGTAAGCTGAGCGTCACTTCTCGGAGAAGGTGGCGTTAGGAGAAGGGATCCAAGTCACGGCATCAAACGGCTTTAACGTTTTGAGCTTCTACCAGAACTGTAATTGATGGAATGTGTTGAGTCATGGGACTTGCAGCCATTTCCTCGCGGGACTCTTGAAGGGGTTTATGACACAATTCCCTGACCCTGCTTATGAGCAGGATCTTTTCTCATGGAAAAGAGGAGGGGATAAGGGAAGGCCAGCTCAAGGGGAGGGGAAGGGGACACGTGCTGCAATACTGGGGCCGTGCTGGTGGGTTGGGGTGCTTAGCGGTGTCAGTCTGGGAGCACTGGTAGAGGCAGGGCCAAAGCTGGCAAGAAGCAAGGGGGAGAGCGGCCCTAGGTATAAACACTGATAACTGGCTTCTCCTGTTACTTCCCTGCATCTGTCTCCCTGACCGGATGAAGAAAATCTTAGTTTTTCCTTTCTCTATTCTCTCATAGTTTGTGTTCCCCCTCCAAAAATCCCCAACGGGGAGCACTCGGGCATGAAATTGGAGCAGTTCCCCTACGGGTCACAAGTGAAGTACAGCTGTGCGGAGGGTCTGTCCCTCATCGGGGACGCCTCCATCTACTGCACCTCCGACGACGGGGTGAACCTGGCGTGGAGCGGGCCGGCCCCCGAGTGCAGGGGTGAGTCCTTTCTCCTCTACGGGATCAGGCTGGAGCCAGGACCTGGGTGCGATATTAGTGCTCAGCACAACGGGGTGTACGGCGAGCAGGGCTGCCGGGAGACCCCGGTTCCTCTGCGGGTGGCGGCTCTGCACTGGGGATGATCCATGGGGATGATCCATGGGGAGGGGTGGCTCTGCCCCGCCTGACCTGGCTCCCCCCATCCCTGGGGCAGAGCAGCACCCAGAGGCACCGCTCCCACCTCCGCCCTCTCTCCGCAGTGGTCCGGTGCCCCAAGCCCACAGTCGAGAGGGGGAGGATGACTCCGCAGAGGTTCTCGTTCCCCTACGGGGCGGCCGTGTGGTTCTCCTGTGACGAAGGCTTCGTGCTGCAGGGCGATGCCGAGAGCCGGTGCCTGGCCAATGGCACCTGGCACCCGCCCCTGCCCACATGCCAGCCAGGTGGGTACCAGCCGGGAGCCGAGCCGGCGGCCCCTGCAACACTGCGGAGAGGTTGGGGTGTACATTATGTTGCTGTGTCTGTCCTCAGGGCTCCCCTAGCACCTTCCCCTCCTTGCAGAAGAGACAAACTTCCCGAACCCAAAGCTTACCGGGCAATAGCTGGATTTTTCTCGATAATCCTCCTTAAAAGAGTCTCAGACAGGCCAGGAGACGCCACTCTCATTGACTTTGCCTTCAGCGATCTTCTTCCTGCAAACATGGATCTGCAGACCCTCGTTACGCTGTCAGAAAACGTGTAACACCTCTGAGGGGCGGGTCTGACCTTCACCCTCCCCTCCTGAAGGGCCTGGGGAAGTAACTTTGCTTTAACGGTTTCACATCTCCACAGGTTTAAGTTCACCTGCCCTGGCTGAGTCTTCACAAGCTTTGTCGGTATTTTTTTCTACCTACATAAAGCTGACCCTCTTGCTGAGCGGCTCCTGCCTGTGGGTTTTCGTTTCAGTGCTGTGTCCACGACCACAAGTGGCCAATGGAAGGCTGAAAAGCCCTTTGGATGGTAAAATGTGGTACCAAACAAATGCAACTGTTACTTTCGAATGCCTTCAGGGATACCACTTTTCAGATGATGGAGACACATTTTCGGAAGACTCTTGGACAGCCACATGCTTGTCTGATGGCAGCTGGACACTGTTGCCCAAGTGTGTAAGTACCACAGTCTGCTGAGTTCCTGGATGGATGCTGCCTGACCTCTACTAGGAAAAATAACTGCTTGAACTTCTTAAAAGCTTTTGTCTTATGGTATCAATGAAGGATGCAGTCTGTGCTGGGGTAGTGCAGGGTAAATGGGGTAGTTCAGGCTCAGACCTCTCCATCTGCTGCAGTGCAAGCTTACGTGCTTTTATCCTGTGGGGTTTTTTTTGTGTGTGTGTGTATTTATTTATTTATTTTTTAATTTTTTTTTGTTTTATTTTTTAACAGAAGAAAGAACATGATGCTGATGTGTGTGAAGAGGTTCGTTACATTCAAACGGTCTTTGAATGCGGTGTGCCTACAGCAGAAGTGAAAACTCTGTTGGAAATACAGAAACTGCTTCTGGAGATTAAAAAGCTGAAGGTGGAGCTAGAAAATTTGAACGAGCGAGCCCTGTAACAGACTGTAATGATCCCCTTTCCTTTGGTGAACATGCAGTTTGTATAGTCACAGTATCTCTCAGGCGGCGCTCAGTGACTTTAGTGTTCACGCTTGCATGCTGATAGCCAGAGATCTGATAACCCATGTACGGGAGATTGCTTTTGCCATGCTAGATGATAGAGCACAGAGGGGATTTTTGCTATTTTCCTTAAATCTGACAAGCTTGAGTCACTATTTAACAAAGGTGTTCTTGCTTGTTTTATATTAGGAAGCATACTAAGGAATTAAACTGAGCTTTGAGTCACTGCGTAAACTGTGTTAAACAGAGAGAGGGGGACTGAGGTCCACAGAAGGAAACGTCCAGCTGAGGTGAGCAGCCGGTGGCTCTTGCTGAAGGTGTTTCTGCAATCTTCCGTCCGGTGGTTTGCACACATGCCCCACCCTCTGCTCATACCCAGCTCAGCCCGTCACAGCATCAGCATACTTTTGTCTAGAAATAGTCCTGAAGTGAGACTTCAATTACACGATTTCCTGTTAATCTAGCTCGTGATTTCTAGGCATCTAGATGAGGGCAGGTACATATGCAGAAGGGCACTTCTCAAGGCTTCTGTTTGCTTATCCCTGGATTAAAAGAGGCAACAGGTTTCTGGCCCAGCACTGTATTCGACAGATATCTGTGTTGGTGTCATCTTCCATATTCCTATTTCTGGCAAGCAAACGCTAAGAATAGATGTAGCGGGTTTAACTGTAGAGAATCAAACAGCACAGACTGTTCTTCTTTCTCAGGAAGAGATGATCAGTTTGTGTCTCTCTGTGATGCGGAAATTACTCCGTCCCTGCAGGATGACAATAAAGATGCAGGTGTAACCACGGGTGTTGTGTGATCTGTCACATCGGCTGTAAATTTTAGGCAGGTTCCCCGCGTGGTCCAGGGGTGGTTCTGATGCAGAGCCGAGCCCTGGCAGCCTGAGCTGGTCCTCGGGGCACTCGGGGAGCCGCAGGGGGGCTGAGGGCAGCGTGCTGCTGCCTGGGCTCGCTGGGAGAAGGGGCAGCAGTCATCTTTGCAGCGATATAGCATCGCCAGAGGCATGTTTTTACGAGTTATTAAGAGTTGCTTTAAATGTTGATCCTGAAGCACAACACCCAGGGAAGAGAAGACGGTACCTCCAATCTCTACGCAGAAAGATGCTTTGTCGATGCATCCTGTGCTCCACCACACCCCGGTGAGGAGCTCTGCAGTGACAGACACTCTGACCCGCTCCAGTTGTCCCCGTGCCCCAAGGAGAGCTGGGCTGCGCCCTCCTGCTGCGACACCTTGCCGCCCTCCGCCCTGAGCTCACCTGGGACTGCAAACAGAGAGTCTTCTCTCCCTGCACAAGGCTGGGAGCCCATAAGCATGGATAAGAACTGGGTGTTACATCCCATGTGTATCCAAGAGTGTTTGAGTAGCCCTGACTGATGTCAGACAGGATATTTCAGCGTGTTAGTCAGTACACAGATGTATTTGCTCACACCCGTTCCTAATTACAAATGAGTCAGGCAATCAAGAAAAAAAAAATTAAAACCAACAAAGAGTAACGCTTTTATTTTTTGTTTTGACTAACTCTGCTTACGGAAGATCAGCGCCGCGTTACCTGCCAGCAAATGATTAGGTAGGCATTTTCCTACCCCAGATCCAGCCTGGGGCTCGGTGGAGTCTTTTCTGCTCTGGTAATATTTCATAAAACTGTTCTAGTCAGCACTTGCTACCGGTCTTGGGTCAAATAAAGGGGCTGAGTTATTCCCCCACCCCTTATGGTGGGGCAGGAGGACCAGGAGGCTTTACCTGAGCCCATGGGTGGCAGTTGTCCCCCACGCCTGGCTGCGATCCGTGTCGCTGCCGGAGGGCTTAGCTCCATGGGTGTTCTGCAAACGTTTCCACTGCTCCAGAAGCTTGGGCGAGTCTGCTGTGCTGCATCTCCTCCCAGCTCCAGAAACAGCCCCTTGGAGCCAACAGTGCTCGACACGGGAGCACAGAAATTGCTGCAATGAAGTCTGGAGCACCAGGACGGGGGAAGCATCCAGGGACCCTGAGCTGTGGGGCACCCCCCAGGGCACGGGGACACGGCCACCCCGCGCTGCTCCTGGCCTTGCTGGGGCTCCTAGGCATGCCCGTGGCTCGCGGTGAGTACGGGGCCATGGGACACATGGGGAGGACCAGCAAGACCTGCCCGGATCCCACTTTGATGCTCAGGGGCTGGAGTGGGTGATGCCACCACCCCAAGCCTGGGGACCCGTTGATGCTCTGACGGGTGCAGCCGTGCCCGGTGCCTTTTCCTAGAGGAGGGGAGCCTGGCTCAGCCCAGCCGCCCTCCTGGGCTGCTCATGGGGGCTGAGGAAGGGGCCAGGGAACGGGGTTCTCACCCGAGGAGGTTTTCTCCTGCCGCAGGTGACTGTGGGCCCCCACCTCACATGACCCACTCCAGACCCTCCAGCGACACGCAGGCCAGCAGCTTCCCCGTTGGATCCAGGGTGACGTACACGTGCACCGAAGGCGCCATCAAAATCCCCGGGAGGTCGGACACGGTGCAGTGCCTGCCCAGCGCACGCTGGTCGAAGCTGCTCGAGCCCTGTGGCCGTAAATATCTCATTTCTTTGAAACGCAGCTCCCTCCGCCGTGTTTAAGCTTGGCTTAAAATTTCTGCCCCTTACGGCGGCTGCTCCGCAATGGCACCGCTCCTCCTGCCGAGGCACAGACCCACTTCCCTTTGCTGCTGTTCTTCGGAGCTGCCGACGGTCCAGGGTCTGCGCCGGCCATCGAGGGGCTCAGTCGGATGGTGGCTGGAGCTCGGGGTGCCCGTGTGTCTCCCGAGCCCCGTCTGCGGCGTGTGTAGCCCCACAGCACGTGCGTGTAACTCCTTATTTCCTACTAACAGCTTTGCCTGCGCAGTTAATGCATCTTCACCTGCGCTTTGCAAAAGATGCAGAACGGCAGCCTGGTAAGAAAAGAGAATTAACCTGCGATGAATGTGAGGAGCTTTCCAAAAGCATTTTGGTGATTCCGAGGTTTATTTGGCATGCCTCGGTGGGGGGGTGGCTCTTTCAGGCCCCGATTTTCTTGACTGCCAGGGAGCTGTGGTGCCCCGACGAGGTTGCGGTTTGCTGCCCTGTCCAAGGAGGACGAGAGGATTAATTTCTTTCCTGTTGGGAGCAACGTGAGCTACGTCTGCCGCCCCGGCTTCGAGAACACCTCGGAAAGTTCCCCCACCAGCACTTGCCTTGAAAACCTGGTGTGGTCGGAAGCTGCCGAGCTGTGCAGGAGTGAGTATCTCCGCTCTGCTCCGCGGCGCTGGCCGACAAGCAGCCGTGGAGTCCAGAGCAGGTCTGGTAGCTGCTCCCAACCGACGTGCTGAAACGCAGCTGGGTCGTGATCATCCCAACAGCTACACGCTTAACACAAAGTTAGGTGGATATTCCTTGATATTCATATTTAAGAGTGAACAGCCAAGCAGCCAGAGTATCAATAATGTCCTTTTTTTTTTTTTTTTTTTTTTTTTTTTTTTTCAGACCTGGTTTGATTTGCATGTTAGGAAATATGTTTGCATCTGGACATGGCCTATGCAGAGGACAAATGCCAATTTGCAGTCCTAGCACTGAAATTCAGAATGAAGACAAAGCATGTTTCTTGGTGAAATCCACGTGATATTAAGACTGATGTGGCACTGATACCTGTGTCACAGTCGAGTAACTCACTGTCAAACTATTGAGGTGGAAATACCGCCGCAAATCCCCTCCTCTGCCCTCCCGCGCCCACACCTTCCCCTACGCCTTGGCGGCGACACGTGGGAAGTAAAATGTTTTGGCAGTTTGGGGGATAACCCCCTAAGTCTGTCCCTTCTTTAGTTGTTTGGGGTTTTTTTTATTTCCCCATGGCTGTGTGCTTTGCTAACCCTGGCTCGTCCTCCGGCAGGGAGGTCCTGCGGCGCCCCGGCAGCGCTGCCCGGGGGTGGGACGGTCGTTCTTACAGACCTGCAGTTTGGTGCAAGAGTGAAGGTTTTCTGCGAAGACGGGTGAGTTGTGGGGGGGATGCACCCAGCTCCAGGCGCTGGGATCCAAACTCCAGTCCGCCGTGATCAGCCCGTGGACAGGGGCTGGGCTGCTATTTCACAATCTATCATTCCTACACGTGGCTCTGAGTGCACAGCGTGCAGCTGCTTTTCCCACTTGAATTCCAGCTTTGGGCTGGGAAGGAGTAGGAGACAGCTGGAGGGAAGGGACCAGGGTGTGAATTTATGGCTGCCTTTTCCTTCAAGTGTCATCCAGAGGAAATTTAACTGATCCAGGGTATCTATCCCAACGGCCCAACGGGGCTGGTCGTACTGTCAATTTATAACTATAGGCTTCAGAGCAAGCTACCTAAAATATTTCAGCTTAAGGTATTTGAGATATATTGGATAAAAAGGGGTTACGTTGGGGGTTTTAAAAATTCAATAATGTTTACCTAGAAAACTGCAGTGAAGCACACTTTTCCACCAGTCACTGAGCTGACTCATGCCTTCTGCCTGCTTTCAATCAGGGCCCAGATGCAGTAGACTGACCCAAATTAAGCTCTTGTTAGTACTCCAGCTAGTATTGCTCCCTCTCTAGCAGGAAATAGCTGGCATCATTTGGCTTGTTCTGCCAATCTTTGCAGCTGCTTCATAGATAACAGAGGGCTTTTCTCCAGACGTTCCCTTCGGAGGGATTTTGGGGAAACGACAGCACGTCCCACCCCTCTGGGATTCAGCTCATTTTTGGAAACGCACATCAGGGTGGAGGGATAATGTTAACCAGCTAAGCGATTAGATACTCTCAATCACATCCAAATGAGGATTTTTTTTTTTTGAGCAGGAGGATGTAATTCAGAGATCGGGGAAGGTGTTGGTGCTGTCAGAACAAGATGTATTAAGTTCCAGCACACACATCCAAAAGTCACTTTATTGAAATGTAGATCCCTATTGCACCCCAGTGGACCCCACTGGGTGTAGCGGTGGGTGCGTTTTGAGTGCGACACGCTGGAGGGAAGGGATGTGCCATCCAGAGGGGCCTGGGCAGGCTGGAGAGGTGGGACGTGCAAACCTCATGGAGCTCAACAAAGCCAAGTGCAAGGTCCTGCCCATGGGTCGGGGCAATCCCCAGCACACACACAGTGAGCTGGGTGAGGAGGGGATGGGGAGCAGCCCCGAGGGAAAGGACTTGGGGGTGTTGGTGGGTGGAAAACTGCCTGTGAGCCAGCACCGTGAAGGAGCTCTCCTCTTAACCGGTGTGTATCTGCACGTCTTGCTTTAAAACCACCTTTCCTACACTCCTGATCGTACTGATACTGGAGAAAAAAAAAAATTTTGTCTCAGTTTCTGTGTAACTACACTATTTTTTCTTTTCTCGTGTGTTTTCCCTTAGGTACAAATTAAATGGGAGCCATTTCATCCAGTGTCAGCTTAAAGGAAACAACGTTGAATGGAGTGAACTTCCAACTTGCGAACGTAAGATTAATCCAATGTTACTTTTGACTTCACTCCAGCAGATCCCGCATCCTAACGTCTAGTCTAAACCAGTCTCCATACGCTGTGTTTGTTGATATTGTGTGGCAGATCTCTCACCAGCACTGCGGCTGAGAAATACCCATTTTGCTGCTGACGCTGCATTTCGGGACTTTTATTCCCACGAGATCAACGTATTTTCTCATGACTTAGGGTAGCAGTGAAGGTGATGGCTTGAAGTTTCGATGAGTCACAAGCCAGAGCATGGCAAGTTGCCTGTTTATTTTTGTGATCCTTGGAGTGAGAGGGAGAAAAACGCGGCAACGTTTTTCCGAAAGAAGGGAGAGATGATGTAGAGGGAAGGCAAATGCTAGTTACCCAGCTTCAATTATCCACAGAGTTGGTTCTCTTCAAGAACCTTAGGTGAACTCTTAAGAACCATTTTGCATTTTCATCATTGATCTACAGTTTTTAGCAATACTCACGCTGACCTTCTTCCCTGCAGTAATTACCTGCTCTTCACCGCCCCAAGTCAGCAATGGAAAGCACGATGGCCAAGGTGCAGAAGAATTTCCATATAATTCCACAGTGACTTACAGCTGTGACTCCGGCTTCGAGCTCGTTGGCAACGTGAGCATCCGTTGTACGAGTACGGACAGAACAAACGGAGTCTGGAGCGGAGCTGTGCCTGAATGCAAAGGTGGTTTCGTTTGAATTTAGTGTTTATTATGAGTTCAGCATTTAGTGTGAACCAGCTTAACATACTGTGATTGCTTAGCACAGGACGTGTCTGGCGGAAGTCATGCTGCAGTTTTAAAGAGAATGAATGCAGTGATGCTGAAGTGAGTAAGGAATGAACAACCTGTGCAAGAAAAGGGTAGTGATCCTAGCAATGCTTGTTCTTTATACCCTAGAGAAAAGCACATCTGTCAAACTTGGAGCAAAAGAAATGGAGAGGAGTCCTCCTCCCCAGAGTGAGTTGAAATGATTCTACATCAAGTCCCACGTCTCCCAGTTTAATTCGCTGCTTTATCACGTTTCTGTGAAAAAGTCATTCGATGAATTTCACGCCGTGATTTTCTTTCTTTTCAGAACCCCGTGGAAACGGCATCCAACCCTCTAAGAAGGCTTCCACGTGGGAAATGAAGCTCAGCCTTTATAAAAAGGCACTCCAAAATACCATCTCTTTCTCCCACTCTTCTTCTGTCTCCAGGACACCAGGTCAGTCCTTGAAGGCTCGTTTGGAGTTCGGGGGGGGACTCCCTGGTTATTCCCGCTCCTATTCCCATGTTTCTCTTCAGTGTCAAGGACCTGCACTACCTCAGCATTCAGATTTGTTGTACCTTTGTACAAAACCCCGAACTACTATTCTCCTGGGACCAGCCAAGGATCCGTGTGTCTTCCAAAGTACATGGGGATCTCTGGCATCCTCCCCCAAGCCGGCTGCTTTGAGAACTTAAAACGGTCTAAAGTTGCATCGTTTTGTGGAAGTGAGTGATTTGTTTGTTGTGTTCTTCTGTAAGTTTTCTCTGTATAATTTATATTTTTCACTGGTTGGCACCTGCTTCAAAGCTTTACTTCGTACAAAATGTATTTTCATGTATCAGTTGCTTCCTTGCTTTCGCATCATTATGGATTTTCTTTAACTTTTTTTTTTTTTTTTTTTTTTTTTAAAAGCAAGAGATAACTTTGTCCCACGTAACCTTTAAGAGTGCTGGGGCTCCTGTCCTCCGGCAGCGAGAGGCAACGCACTAACACTAACCTTGTTCCACACCAGTGAGGTCATGGGCAGCCAGGAGAAGCTGGACATGGCAGAAGTGCTGCTACAACAGATTCCCCATCCGCTGCAAAGGATTATTTTACCCCTAAAAAGGGTGAGTTTCAGCTGTGTTGGAAACAGTGTCTGGGTGGGAACCAGAAGCACATAATTGTAAGTAACAAAGACAAAACACTTGGAGGGTCTCGCTACCCAACTGGGGACTGAAGGAAAAGCTTTTCTCTGGTGTCAGGGTCAAGCTGAACTTGCCCATCCCTGAGCCATCAGGTCTTTTGGGTCAAAACCAGAAGATCTGTCACCCCTGTTGTGCTGTGTGAACCCACACAGCCCGGGGCTGTTATACAAATGTGATGAGGCTGGTGCTTAAACCCAGGTCCAGAAATGCCCCCCGGGCAGGTGTGGTGTGCCCAGGAGGGATTTTCCCCACTGCTGCATCATTTCTCAAAGGTGGGGTTTGTTCCAACCTGTTAGCATCGCCAGGCTGACGGCTGGGACCAAAACCCCAAGGGATTTGTCTGGACGGGTAAACAAGGAATCAAACCATCCCACTTGTGGCGTTAAAGGCAGGGTAACAGGGTTGGGCACTTGTGGAAGTGTCTGTAGGAAAGATGTTGCAGTGGCATCAGTGGATGAAAAGGGCTCCAAGCAGGGCTTTGCAGGCCTCAAAGATAAAGTTTGGTGACGTTGGGCCCTTGGTAGGAACAAATGAAGGCGAGAAGCATTCTAGATCATACAACATGGAAGGGAAGGGGAAAACTTTGTCCTTTGTTTTTGCCTAAAAGTTTTTGTTTTGCTCTATTATGTAACTTCAGAACAAAAATTGATTTAAAAATCTCTTCCGGTGGTTCTTTCTTTTTTTAATCTTGTCATTCTTGGCACTCCTTCAGGAGATCGTATCAAAGCAGCAGCTTGACATGTGATCTAACCTGCGTGGAACGCCGCTTTGCGTTGTGCTTCAGGAACTTGATTGTCCTGCCCCCCAAAAAAACATGGGTCCTGTAAAATCAGCCCCTGGGTGCCAGAAGGCTGGAGCAAGGAATGAGATGGGGAAAAGAGAACAATACCCCAAACCAGCCTCTAGTGTTTGTAGGAGGAACTAGTTTGGGCCTTTCTAAAGCCAGTGCTAAAATTCACCCCCCAAACTGGACGGGTGTTTTAAAATCTGGGCAGAAACCTTAAACCCTCCTCGAAACCACAGCCTGGCTGATCTTCATGTGAACATTCCTTTCCCCCAGGCTGCATATACGGTCCCCGGGAATTGCACGGAAAGATTCATCTGGAGCTTTGAAGCGGTTTATCTGTGATGGGTCTGCCCTCCTCCAGCGACGCCGTGACCGAGGGACCCCCACGGAAGAAACGCCGGGCAGAGGCATTTGCACTTCCCTTGCATGACAGCAAAGAGAAACTGGCACGTGCTGCTCTTCCTGCCGTCTCACCACGGATGTAGACAAGACACGCAGTTAAACGCTCTTTCTAAATATTTTGTTAGCTTTTCAAACACAAGTAGCACTGTCAGAATAATGCATGCAGACTCTCGGCCGTGTTCTGTCTCTCAAGTGCCCCCTGCGACGGTTGGACTCGTTAAGGACATTTCAACCTGACTTTAAAACAAAGAATAAGCTCCATCAGGTCTGTCCCGTGTGCATGTACAAAGTGTATTTTTTTTTTAAATTGTGATACGTTTTAATGTTCCAAGAAATTAAATTAAAATTACCTACGCGAGAGTTGGCTAATTCCCACAGTTCCTTCTCCCATTTGAGTTTTTTGTCTCTTTGAGCAATTTCCTCATAACATCCCGAATCCAGTTTCAGTTCCCCACTCATCTGACCAGCCTTTTTTTTTTTTTTTTTTTTTTTTTTTGCAGAATTTCTGACGGAGCTCGGTTACGTCACAACCCGTTCAACTCGGTGTTTCCACAACCACACACTCTCTTGCTCGCTAGCAACGCCAGCCTGCTGCCATAACAATCACTGTAAATACACAGACTTGGGACAGGCTGTAAAAGACCCAAATCTCTCTGCTGGGCTGAGCTGCTTCCTCAATTTACCAGGAATTTCTGGCTGTAGCACGGGCCGGTTGCAGATACACCTATGCCAGCTGCCAGCAGGGTTGTGCTGGAAGCAAAACGCTGATTTCTCTGTCTTGCAAAATTAGATGCTTATTTCCTTTCGGAAACCATAGTACTCCACATGCTAAATTGAAAGTTGATCTTTACATCTCCAGTACTTTAAGCACTTCCTTTAGCAAAAGCTTTTCTTGTACCGGACAAGTTCTTTCCGTTGGTATTTCGGCTCACACTACGTGAAAAAAATAACAGCCACGAGTGATCTGGGTATCTACTAATCTCATACTGTAAAGGAGCTACTTCTGCTTTCCAGGGGGAGAAAGGCAGCTCTGTAACGCTGCAGGCTGTAAGCGCGGCGACTACACGCAGACGCAGAGGGGCAAGTGCTGAACATACTCTCCGGTGTTGCCATCCTGCAACAGGGAAACTGGAAATGTCGGGTTGATGCTGTTGGTTGTTTACCATCTTTGTCCCATCCAGTACACTAATTGCCTTATATTTAGGTGCCTTTCTGGGGTTTTATTCACATTTAGGAATAAATGCTAATTGTTTATCAAGAATAGCCCGTGGATTCAACTGCCTGCTGTTTCCTTCTCATGTTCCACGCTCTTTTCAGGAAGGTTATCAGTTTTTAGAGATATCTCCACAATCAGTTGTTTAGCAGCACTCATTTAGTTTCTAAATGGCCTCCTTTGCAAGTTTAACTTGGTTGTAAAACACAAAAAAAAAAAAAAAAGGAAATGGTAACGTCTGGGAATGTGAGTGTTTGTAGTAAATGGTTTGGAAAAGAAAGCTGGAGGGATGTGGACCTCTCTTGAGCCTTTTTAGCCACCCTGGTCTGGATTTCTGCTGCCCCGCTCAGCCCCAGAGAGGCTTCGGGGTCCGTGGGCGACGTCCCGGGACCCGAGGGCAGGTTTTTCTGGAAAGCCAAGAGCAGCCCCAGCAGCTCAGCCCTTGTTTTTGCCGGCTGGTTTTGCTGGAAACCTTCCCTCTGTTGCAGCCAGAGCCTGGCAGCGTGGGCGCACGGAGCAGCGTGGGACAGGCCTCCCCTCTGTCCCTGCTTTCACTTCTGCGCTCACCGTCTGCTCGGCCTGATCTCTGCAGCCCGGGGAAGGGATGTCAGAGCAAGATAAAGCAAGTTGGACTCGGCTGCTCCACCTGAGCGGGCGCAGACCCGCTATCACAGGGCTCAGCTGCTGCGGCAGCTCCTGCCCGCGAGGTTTCGGTGCTCAGGCGGTTACTGGGCAAAACGGGACAGCAAACCAGGGTGGCAGAGGGACGGGGGGTGCAGATGTCCCCTGCGTGGCGCTGGGTAGGAAAGCAGCCTGGTTCAAGGGGTTAATTGGAACTCTGCGAGAAGGGGATTCCACCGAGTTGGAGCTACAGCGGCTGGTTCTGACGTACAGGCGAACCGAGCCACTCCCTGGGGAGGCTCAGCATTTGCCAAATATTTAAAATCTCACTGTCTCATGCTGAGGTCAGGGCCATAAGCTGTTACAAAAGAACTTCCCAGCATTTAAAGCATTTTTTTTTTCCTGTTAGCATCCTCCTTTTGCATTATGCAGCCACCACCCCAATTCAGACCCAGGTAGCCAGTGACCTGTAAAAATACGTGGCCAAGACACTGCCACATAATTTGTCAACGTGTTCAGAGGGATTTTAAAGGAATGAGTTATCCAAGGCTGCTCGACTCTCCCTTAAAACAACACTTCCTGGCCTCATTGCAAATGCTTTTGTTACATATTCTTGGAGCTTAAATTGTGTTAGAAAGGGAAATACAGTGAGGGGAAAAAAAAAAAAAAAGAAAAAGAAAAAGATAACTTTGAGTTTTTCAGTGGAAACACCGTTTCCTGGATAACAACCGCAGAGGGAGGCAGGAAGGGGCAGGCAGGCTGCTGCTGGCTGCCCTTTCCTCGGGGTGGGGTGACACGAGCCCCTTACTGGCAGCGCTGCTCAGCAGAGCGGGATGGAGCAGCCAAACCAGGCAGAACCTTTTCCTTTGGCTCTTCCCACCAGGCCTGCGGGCAGGGATCCCAGAGCAGCTCTGCTTTCCCACATGGGCACCGAGCAAACTGCTCCCGAGCCTGGCCAGGCCCGAGGACATCCCTGAGGTTAGTGTTTAACTGGGGGAGTTACAGTGGAAATGCTGGTACTCCTGCATTAAGACCTGGACTGGGAGCCCAGGGAGTTGTAAAGGTTCTGTGATCGTCTTGGGTTAAATTAAGGTGAAATGATCCCTCAGGATAAATTAAGGTGAAGCAACTGGGTAAGATGTTTTACTTGAGGTAGAAACAACTTAAACTTGGAAAAGGATAATTAGCAATGTGGTCTCATAAATCTATAAGAAAGAGGAGAGGAGAGGAGAGGAGAGGGAGAGGGAGAGGGAGAGGGAGAGGGAGAGGGAGTCAAAGAAATCTGGTCACCACCCCTGGATCCAGCGTTGTCTCGGGTCCGGTAATCTTGGGTGGTGGGTGCACACCCAGGAAAATTTTCTGCTGCCTTTTAAGTTCATCTCATCAGCTGATGAGCATACCGGCTGAGGAGAGGCAGGTATTCCACAAACTCCTTTCCATGAGATGAGCAAAAAGGTGGAGCAGGGGTTCCGCACACCTATTGAGGGGGATGAAGTGCCCCAACCCCCTTGTCCCGCGGAGTCGGGGGGGTCATGCTCTCCCCGTCGCCTTTACTCCCACCCCAGTTCCCACAAATTTTTGCTGACTTCCTGCTGCTTGAGCAGTCATCCGGCTTCTGGGGCAGAAATGCTGCCCTCTTATCAGGCCTTGTCACCTCTTCGGGCTTCCACAACCGAGCCAGCGATCAGCAGGCCTCGTGCTTGATGAGAAACGTTTGGTTTCGCTCCGTCCACGTTTCCCCCTCTGAGGTTTAGCTGAGGAGCTCGGTGAAACAACTGCAGGAGGTGCAGCCCTCGATACGCTCCCGCTTCCTTGGGCGATGTCCGTAGACTAATCACAAAGGCCACAGCTTGTCCTCGAGGTTTTCTGTGTCCATGAATGTTTAAAGAATTCATTCCTTCAGCCTTGCTCTGTGCACGGGTCTTCAATGAGCGGCTGGTTGACAGCCCTCTGCCCTCCCGCGCACCCCCTGGGCTGGAGGAAAACCCCTCTGCTCTGCTCTCTTCTTGCAGAAAGCCTCTCTTTTACGGACGCCTGTTCCTCTGGTGATGTTCGAAGATGGTTTGGCAGGGGGCTGGTGTCCCCCAGCTGTGTGGGGGTCCCCGGGGCAGCCGCTGTCTGGGGGGGCAGGAGGCACCGAGGGAGCTGCGGCAGAGCCAGTGCTGGGGGACAGATGGGACCTTCTCCACACCTCCACACCCCCCCCGGCTTTGGGGTGCGCTATGGGGTTCACCGGCACAGCGGGCAAGCCCCACGTGCTTCCCTTTTTTGGGGGGTTGTTTTGGGTGGCTTTTTTATTATTTTTTCCACTGGGACTCGACAGCTCCGAGGCAGGGGTGTCCGTACTGGAAGGAGTGGAGGGTGGATTTGCCGGAGGGCTGCCTCCTGGCGCAGACATGAGCAAACCCTCCGGCTCCAGCCACGGGTGGGACCTTCAGCAGAAAATTTCCCAGAGCTGAGAGCGCGGGGAGGGATCAGGCCGTGGGAGCGGCTCTTGCCTTTTGGCTGCACGTCGTTCCCCAGCTGAGGGTGCCGCCTGCAGCCGCCTCCCCGCGCCTGGCAGCAGCACCCACCGCTGCTCTTGAGCAACATCCCCCCCCTCCCCTGCTCCGGGAGTGGCTGCGCTCCCCCTGCGCTCCCCTGCGCTCCTCTTGCGCTCCCCCTGCGCTCCCCTGCGCTCCTCCTGCGCTCCCCTCCACTCCCCCTCCGCTCCCCCTGCGCTTCCTTTGCGCTCCCCTCCACTCCCCCCTGTCTCTTA